TCGGGAGACTGCTAAAGCAACAGCAGGACTTTTTAGTGGACGTATTGAGTACAAATAGAGCATGGATGATTGCACAATTGGAAGAGCAAAAAACAAATCTTGCTAAAATGCAAGAAAATCCTCGTGAGCCGACCATAACCTCAACAAATATATCCGTGCCAGCCTTTCCACCGTATGTGCATACAAAGCAAAGTTTTGACTCGTACATCGCACAATTAACCCAGCATTTCGAAGCGTATTCAGTCACGAAGCAGGAACAGAAACGAGCATTTTTCCTCTCGTGGGTAGGAGCCGACTGTTTTGAGCTGCTATCCAAACTTTTCGACACAGAAGACATACAAACGCAGACATACGAAAGCATTAAAGAAAAGTTGTCAACGCACTACAAGGAAAATGTTCACATACTGGCCTCAAGATACGAATTTCTGTCATCGAAAATGAAACCAGAACAAAAGTATTCAGAATGGGTTGCTGAACTGCGGGGCATAGCGCGGAATTGCAGGTTCGTGTGTAGTAACAATACTTGCAAAACGTCATTTATAGATGACCTGCTTCGAGACATTTTAGTTTTGAATTCGCCACATGAACCGGTACGCACTGCAGCACTACAAAAGCCTAATCCGGCACTCGCAGTTGTTATAGCTATAGCCGAAAGCTATGAAACAACACAGGCCATGAAAAAGCGGATGTCATCTAGCACAGCAGAACGCAGCGAAGTATTTCAGCTGAAACAGCACCAAGCTGAAAAAAAGCTTAAGCCAAGCGCAAGCAAGAGTAACTGTTTTCAATCCTGCTCTGGGTGCGGGAAGCACCACTCCAGAAGCCAATGCAAATTTCGTAATGCACAATGCCGAAAGTGCAATCGTTTCGGCCATATCGCACCAGTTTGTAAAGCACAAAGTGCAATTACCGACAATAAAAATAATAAAAAGGAGAAGCAACCGCAGACTAACAACAATAACGCTCAGCGAAGTGTGTCAACGATCAACTTTGTTGCTTCAATTACGAGCACCGTGCCAAACAAAGTAGGAAACAAATATCTGATGGAAATAGGGGTGAATGAAGTACCAGTCAAGTTTCAGATGGATACCGGCGCCACTTGCTCCGTGATTGGCTTAGATGTATATAATGAAATTGGAAAGCCAAGTCTTACGCCCTATCCAACTGGTAAGCTAATCGCGTATGGGGGAAGTGCTGTAAGCATTTTGGGAACTATTGATGTCACTATTCATCATGGGCAAATTAAACGGCTAGTGAAACTTGTTGTAGCTAATGTTCAGCAAAATAGTGAAATCCTTGGAACGGATTTGCTAGAAGAATTGGGATTATGCGCCTGCCAAGCACATCACATAAACGCCGTTATAAAAAATTTGCAGATGTGTTTGAAGGCACGTTGGGTTATTGCACAATTTCAAAAGCTGAGTTACGGTTAAAACATGATGCGACACCTAAGTATTTCAAATCTCGCCCTATACCTTTCGCGCAATTGAAGGACTTCAAATTAGAGGCACAGCGTCTAACGGACTGCGGGATATGGAAACCAATTACGTTCAGCAAATGGGCGGCACCCATCGTAGTGGTTCAAAAAAAAGACGGGCGTTTGCGGATATGCGGTGACTTTAAAGCTGTGAACGCACAGCTCGAGGTAGATCACTACCCAATACCCCGCATTGAAGAACTGTGCCGCAAGCTAAGAGGAGGCACAATCTTCGCCAAAATTGACCTTTCAGACGCATACTTGCAAGTGGGTCTGACCGAAGAAGCGAAGCAGCTAATGGTTGTTAATACCCCATTGGGCTTGTTCCAGTATCAACG